GCAGTTGCTTTGAACTTCAGGAAAGTGACAGTTGATGAGTTTGCACTAAAAAATACTTTTTTTTTTTTGGTTTTTCGAGACAGAGTTTCTCTGTGGCTTTGGAGCCTGTCCTGGAACTAGCTCTGTAGACCAGGCTGGTCTTGAACTCACAGGGATCTGCCTGCCTCTGCCTCCCGAGTGCTGGGTAAAAAATACTTTTAAAATATATAGGAGTGGGCTTCTACATTAACAAAATGTTACTGGATAATATTTTATCTTTTTTTATATATTTTTTGAGACAGGTTTTCACTGTGTAGTGTAGCCCTGGCTGTCTTGAATCTCACTCTGTAGACCAGGCTGGCCTCAAACTCAGAGACATCTGACTGCCTCTACTTCCTGAGTGTGGGATTAAAGGCATGTGCCACCACTGCCCAGCTAATATTTTATCTTAAAATGTCTTCAAAAAGGAAAAAGATGGTGACCATTGCATAGCTGGAATGATTTCCTTCTTTCCTTTCTTCCTTCCTTCCTTCCTGCCTGCCTTCTTTCCTGCCTTCCTTTCACCCCTCCCTTCCTCCCTCCCTCCCTTTCTCCCTCCCTCCCTTTCTCCCTCCATCTTTCCATTCCTTCTTTGAGACAAGAGCTCACATAGCGGGGCTGGAGAGATGGCTCAGTGGTTAAGAGCACTGACTGCTCTTCCGGAGGACCTGGGTTCAATTCCCAGCACCCACATGGCAGCTCACAACTGTCTATCACTCCAGTTCCAGGGGATCTGACACCCTCACACCAATGCACATAAAATGAATCTAAATAAATTATTTTTAAAAAAAGATCTCACACAGCCTAGGCTGACTTTAGAGTTATTATGCAGCCAAGACTGGCCTTGAATTCCTGATCATTCTCTATTTCCCAAGTGCTGGGATTGCAAGTGGCCACCACTGCATGCCACTCGGAAAGATTTCTCAAACTGAGCTAAACTACAAAGTTTCTTCATAATCATTAGCTTTGAATATGAAGTCACTACTAAATTATGTGGACTCAGGCTAAATGCTTACATTGAAGTAAATTAGTGAAGACGCTGTGAATGACACTATTATGTTTTAGGGATTGTTGATGTTTTTTTTCTTGAACTAGATATTTTTCTCTGCTTCCTTTCCTCCCCTTCCCCATCTACCCTCTCCCATGATCCCCACGCTCCCAATTTACTCAGGGATCTTGTCTTTTTCTACTTCCCATGTAGATCCAAGTATGTTTAGGGTCCTCTTTGTTGTCTAGGTTCTCTGGGATTGTGAATTGTAGGGTGCTTTTTCTTTGCTTTATGTCTAAAAGCCACTTATGAGTGAATACATATGATATTTGTCTTTCTGGGTCAGGGTTACACACTCAATATGATCCATCCATTTGCCCACAAATTTCAAGATATCGTTATTTTTTTCTGCTGTGTAGTACTCCATTGTGTAAATGTACCACATTTTCCTTATCCATTCTTCAGCAAGGGGCATTTAGGTTGTTTCCAGGTTCTGGCTATGACAAACAATGGTGCTATGAACATAGTTGAGTACATGTCCTTGTGGTATGATTGAGCATCCTTTGGCTATATACTCAAAAGTGGTATTACTGGATCTTGAGGAAGCTTGTTTCCTAATTTTCTGAGAAATCATCATACTGATTTCCAAAGCAGCTGTACCAGTGTTCACTCCCACCAGCATTGGAGGAGTGTCCAGCATAAGCTGTCATCAGAGTTTTTGATCTTGGCTGTGAACGACACATTTTATCAAATGTTACAGTTACATCTGAGGTTCTTAGATTTGTGGACTGAATACTTAAGCATATGAAATCCACTCCCCAAAAGAAGTGTACCCTAGAAACAGGTAAATATAGATACATGAATGCTGTGGTTTGGATGGTGTTTTTTTTTTCTCTAAGGGCTTGTTCTTGGACGTGTAGAGTTGGGGTATCCTTTAAGAGGCAGGCTTACTGGGATGTTATGAGGTTATTAATTATGCTGCCTCTGAAAGACACTAATATGTTCGTCTTTTGGAATGAATTGGTTCTGAAGACAAGGGGTTGCTATAAAAGAGTGAGCCTTCATTTCTTGCCTTCCTGGCTTACCATCTAATCTCTCCCATTGCATACATGATGCCATTTGCCACGCTGTGCCATAGCCAGAAGGCCCTCAACGGGACTGAGCAAAAGTCAGCACCATATTCTTGAGCCTGTCTAAAGCTAGTTTGTCATAGCCGTTCAAAAAGACTGATAAAATATGTTAATCCAGGTCCCATGAGCTGTATTAAAAAGTTATGCTTCATATACATGCCATACACATAGCTTGAAGGAACTTTTGTACAAGATTTTTAGCCCATCTGCATCCCGACTATGCCCTTTCAACCTTGGAATTTTCCATTTTGTTTGATGTTGCTCACAATTTTATGTTTTGCAGCATTCCAGATTTCAGCTTTTTGGATTCAGAATGTATAATTTATCTTACATAGTTTATGGAGACCATTCTGAAGTGACCATTCATTTATACAGTAATATTCTGATTCTTTCTGTATGTCTACTAAGGGGGCAAAGAAGACTTAAAGTCAACAAATTTTCACCATTTGCCCATCTATCAGGGAGACTGCTTTCACCGACATGAAAATCAGGGCTGCTGTTTGTTTCATGGTCCTGCAAGGTATACACGTGGGGATCTAAAGCAGTATGAGTGCAAAACAAAACAAAGATGCTTCAATTGGGACAAAGGACATAGAGAGAGCAGTGACTGTTTTTTTTTTTAAATGTTCAGATGGAAACGCTGGTGGTTAGGTGGAAGATACGGTCAAAGTACATAGCTGTATGTTTTCCAGGTTTCTATTTTCTTCTTTTTCGATCATTTCAGATAGAAATGTTTAAGGGAAACAGTAGGGAAGGGCTGCCAGGAACATAGCAATTTGGCTTACCGAGATCATTATATTTAGTACTTTAATGTCTAGCTTTTGAGGTGGGGGTGCGGGGTATTGTATTTAAGAAAAAGTAAACAGTTGTTCTTAATTATAGTATGCCATGGGACTTAGTGTGTTGGCTTCAAACACAAATACTACAGCTTTCTCACCAACATCGGCGATTAGATAGGATCAATCATCTGAGTGGTCATGGCTGGGAATTATGGCCATTAAGTAATGCTAAGCTTTGGAAACAACAGTAAACTTCAGATGGAATCTGTGGCCTCGAATCCGAGCAAAGCCGCTTATTGTGTGATTGTACTATTTCTCACCTCCTTCCAAAGACAAATGCTATTCTCTGTCTTGCCTAAAGTACTACATTTCTGAGATTCATACAGCACCTGGTGTACTCTCTATATGAGTACCATAATAAAATATTCCTAGAATTTCATATTTGAGAAACATTGTTGACTTAAAGAAACAAGCTTGCATAAATGACTTGAAGAACTCATAACCGAAGTCTCTTCCTTTCTTCTTCAGCTCTCAGGGTCCTTGATAGTTCTTTTCTGGCACCTGAGATCTATACTTCTCTGCTGGAAAATCATCTTGTAGCTTCAATCTCTTTTGGTATGTTGGGTGGGAGCTATGATCTAGTCCTGAGCTTCAGCAGGGCTCCATGGTGGCTATCCTTGAGCTATGTCCCTTGCCATGGAGCAAAGGGTCTTTATGGCTAATGTGGAACACATATGTCCCCTTCTAAAACACAAAACTGTATGTACAAATGTATCTACAGGACTTAAAATGTCATATCCGCCAACTGGTACTTTTAGTGGCCAATAAGTTCTCTTTCCCAGTTTATCATTGTAGTGCGCATTGTCTAGGCTGCTGGGTAAGTGTGGCTAGAGAAAGGGTAGGCTGCTAGCCAGTGTCAGCTCACTAACTTTTTTTCTCCCCAGAACTCCATGGAATTTGAGAATTCTGAATTGAGATCTGGCAGGTGGCCGTGAGATAAATGTGTAGTGAAGGAGGATGTATGTTATTTTATAGCCAGCAGCATGATTTACAGCCTCAAATGGCAGGGGACTGAATTACTATTTGGGTTTTGTTTGTTTCTTCTGTATCATACCTAGAATGTAGGGATTGGATTAAGGAGCTATATTATAGTGCTCTTTTAAAATTATATGAACAGTATTGAATTTGATTTCCTATATTGCCAACATATATGGCTAGTGAAGACTTGTGTAGCTATACTTAGAAGAATAATGGCAACTAGTACCTGGTGGTAAGCCAGCTCATTTAGACCCGAAAACTTTCTTATGTACTACAAAATGGAAAATGAACGATTAAAATGTAGAAATATTAGTTCCCGTTACTTGTTTTAGATAATTCCTTACTTTATAGATACCCATCCATTCTTTTTGTTCTTTTTTTTGGCCAAGTATTGTATTAGAAGAAAGTTGCAGAGAAGAGGGGTATCTTTTTTTTTTGCTTTGAAATTTAGAAACAAGTTTATTTAAGATCTGAAATACAATTCCTAAAATATCAACTTTTCAGAAAACTGTGGCTACACACTAATGCATTGCCTCTATCATGTTAGAACGTGCATTAGACTCAAACACAAAAGCCAGAAAACAAATCACCATCCTTCCACAATTTGAGCAAAGAGAGAATGAATGCCTAAGGAACAACAAAGATGGATTGCAGAGGATGGGCTGTTTACATCAAGCACAAAAAAAAGAAGCACAAATGCATGGGTTTGCGGGTATATACATTAAGTTGAACCTTTGGCACTAGGAACCAGGGCATCTTATCACGTAGCATTAACACATATTAGAAAACTGTGTAGTGTCAAAGGGATAGGACCACCAGCATTCAAGCAATGTTGTCAACTAGGCAATAAAATGTTCTACTGAATTTCTTCTTTGTCTAATTACTGCATACACTGGTAGCAACTCTGAAATGAGGAAAGGAGCCGAGCACTCCTTTTATTTTCTGTTTACAACAGAACAGCAAACAAACTGAAACATAAGCCCTGTTTTACACTGACAGTTTTAAGGAACATCAATTATACAATGAAAGGACTAAACAGAAGTGTTTACAGATACCAGACAATAGTGAGCGGTCAGCAGACCTTCACAGGGCTTTGCGATGATACTCAGCAGAAGCCACTTTGTAATCACTGGCAGTAAAGAGAGAGGCAGAATTCTTTGCCAGATACTTAAGGAAATCATGCAAATAGCCCAACAGTAATGCAAGGCTTTTCTCATCAAGGGGCGTATAAGCCAACATTGCCCCAATTCTCACAAATAATCTCAGTAGGTGTGGTGCCCCATAGATCTGCGACATTGGCGCATCGGGGTGAGCCAGAAGGATCTCAGCATACTGAGGCCTCTCAAACTTGTAGAGCAGCTGAGTGCCCAGCATCACATTGAAGTACTCCTTTATCCCTCCCACCACCTCATTCACTGCATATTCCTTATTATCAACATTTCCCTGCGATCTCTTACAATTGGCATACTCCTCAAGAATGGCATCCACATTCTTTTTAGCAGGGAGCTGGAACAACTGCTTCTGCCGAGTAACCAAGTCCCAGTCCTCCACCAGCCATGGTTTTAATTCTTCAGGAATCTTCACTTTCACCTCCATTCTATTCTTAAATGCCTCCTCACTCTCCACAGTGGGGTCAGCCCGTGCCCTCTTCTTACGTGGGGGCTGGGGCATTTCACTGGTGCTGCCGCCATCGCCGTTACCAGGAGCTTTCTGCTTGTTCTTGCGTGTCTTCCGCACAGAACCAGAAGGGGGGTTCTCAGCAGAGCGACCGCCCCATCTCCCTGGGAGGGCTGGTTCAAGATTCTTTGGCTGGGAACCAGCTGACTTCTTTCCGGAGGCAGCTCCCCTCATCTTGCTTCTCTGCATGTTGCCTCGAGTTGGCTTCTTAAAGTTGTCTTCTTCAGCAGATTGTTGTCCACGAGTTTGAGAAGTCTGCTTTCTGGAACTCATTCAACCCTGTTTTTATTCCAACCAACAATCTTCCTTCTTTCCCTTCCAAGGACTCCTAGTAATTTCCCAGATGGAATCTTAGAGATCTCCTAGGATGGTCTGGAAGGATGAAGTGAGAATACAACCCTGTATTCTGCAAACAGGAATGGTTCTGCAACCAGGGTCAGATCTCCTGATCCTTATTGTGTAGCAAACTTAGCTTTTCTGATGATGACCTGAAGCGAGAATCCAGTTCTTTCCAGCAGCCGACGTGTGTTCACCGCTGCTGCTCCAACCGCCATAGTCGAAGAGGGGTATCTTAAACAAGACGAGAGTTGGTACATCAGAGAGCATTTGTTGGGAAGTATTCTGAAGGCAAGTTATTATGGTGAGCCATGAAGCATATGAGCAACAGCGATCGGTGACCACCACCTTGAAAAAGGCATGTGATTTCTTGTCCTTGATGGTGGCAGCTGCTCTAGGTTAAAAAAAAAAAAGTAAAGTCTGTTATCACTTCTTTTTTTTCTCTTGGCTACAAAATTGACATGGTGAACTTTGCCTTTTCAGGCTGATTTCTGTAATCTCCTTGGATTTTTGGTACATTCATCCTACAGAGTTACATACCTTCCCTGTCAGATCCCAGGACTGTCAAGATGTCCAAATGATTGGTCCAACTCTCAAGCGGCTTGTAGAGCAGGAAGCCGACAGGTATTCACATCTAGTTGTCCTTACTACCAGCTGGGAGTGGAGGGTGACCAGTGTCTGCAATCAAGAGTCAGCTTTTCTGGCTCTGTAACAGATGAGGTGACATTAAAAAAAATAACTGACCAGGTATGGTGCTTCATATATAATCCCAACACTCACAATACAGAGGCAGGAGGATTCCAGCAAATCTGAGGCCACTTTGGCCACTATGTTTGAGGCCAGTATGAGCTTTGAATTGAGATTCTTTCTTAAAAACAAGCAGACAAACAAAGCAAAAACCAACCAAATATTCTGTACCAAATTTGTGGTCACAAAACATCCCTTTTCCTTCATTCCTTTCCCGCCATCATTTCTTCTTCATTCCTTCTTCCCTTTCTCATTTCCTTATCAAGGTCTGCACTGAATAGTCATTTAATTTTTTAAAATTCTGTTTATTTTTTCTGTGTGTACACACAAATGCATGTCTCTGTATGTGTGGGTCCAAAGACAATTTATTGGAGTTGGTTTGCTCCTTCTGCCATGTGGGCCCCAGGGATTGAACTCAGGACATCAGACTTGGTTACTTGACCTTGCTCTCCCTGTATGGAATACTTCTCATATGCAAAGATAGTTCTGAATAAAAATAAAAAACAAAGTTTGGGAAATATTTAAAGTATGTCTGCGAGTGATAAGATATAAAACATTAAGCAATTATAATATCAAGCACTTTCTCAAGCACTATGTTTAGTCCTTCCCTATCGAGTAGAAATTATTAATGTCTACCTCTGTCAAGATTGGGACTGTGAGTGACTGGGTGATTCCACTGAGGTCACACAGCAGTAACAGTGATAAAAATCAACCAGTTTGCACTCAGATACCAAGTCCTTCGCTACATCATCATTGCTACTCTGCCTGACGGTGTAGCAACATGCACCAGCGTGGAATGGAACAGGAAGGAATTTCAAGAAAAGGCAACGATAGTCATCAGTGTTGGGTTACAAATAATGAAACCACTCTAAGTATTTCAAACAATATGTTTAATGGGGGGAATTGGTTACAGGAGGTGACGGGAGAGCCAAGGATGATGTGGTTACCTAGAGGGTAAAGACCTTTAATATTGTTGCTGCTGTTAAGGCTGAGATGGCACAATGAGGGAGGGGATGTGACCCAAAGTCTACAGCACTTGTCTCTAATGCCACTGCTGCAGAGTTGAGCTCCAGATACCGTAGTCACATTTGTCGCCGCTGCTGTTGTAGGTGTTCCTACTTACTGTCTAGATCCTTGGATAAAACCAGGAACAGAAAACAACAACGAAACCTGGCTTCTGTATTCTTCCTGTTTCCTAGTCTCCCATCAAAGACTCCCATTGATAGACTCTGCTAGAAATTTAGTTGGCAGGGGTACCTGGAAAATGTAGTTTTCGTAGGCTTTGATCTGGAAACCATCCACTGAGTATATTTAGAGACAGCTGCATGCCTAAGTTTAGCATGACTGTGGTATGTTACTTTTCTATTGCTGTGCTAAGACCTCCTGACCGAGGCAACTTATAGACAAAAGAGTTTATTTGGGCCTTAGGTTTCAGAGGATGAGAATTAGTGACTATCATGGCCTGGAGCAAGGCAGCAGGCAGGCAGGCGTGGTGCTGGAGCAGTAGCCGGAGGGCTTACACCTTGGTCCATAAGCTCTTAACCACTGAGTCATCTCTCCAGCCCATTTGAACACATGGAGGTATTTAGAGTGGCTGGTGTGTAGGATACAAATTGAGTCTTCCAGAAGGGAGCTCAGAGTACTGTATGTGTGAGCCAGCTACTGAAGGCTTTCACCCACCCTTTTGAAGTTTGACTCGGGACTTGAGCTCGTTTGGATCCTACCAGTTTGGCTGCAGCTTATGTTAAACATTGAGCTCTGGCTCCTAAAGCCTGATCCATGCCAGTCATTCTGTGACTCTCCAGATCCAGCAACTGACAAGCGATGCAGGTCCGGTGGGGGCCACTGCAGTCCTTTGGTATGTTCATTGGATTTCCAAAATGTCACAAAAACCATCTCAGAAAATAAACTTGAAAAGAGAAAATGGTTTATTTTGGTTCCCAGTTTCAGGACTTTAAGCCTATGGTGAGGCAGTGGTGGATGATGAAACTATCTCGTGCCTAGGAAGCCAAGAAGAGGGTGAGAAAATGGTTGGAATCCCAAATCATCTTCAAGGAACTTCCCCCACTCCAAGGGTTGGAAAAACCCCCACTAGCATGTACCTCTTAAAGGTTCTGCATCTCCACAAAGTGTCATGGCCTCGGAGCTAAGTCTTTTAACTTTGGTACTTTGGGGGACACTTGCCCAAAACCTAGAACCTGGTCAGTGACATGCACTCTGGCTGTTAAACATTTTGAGCGTCATCATTGGTTTCACTACTCCAGATCTGTGTTTAGTTTTGTGGGTTCTTCAGCCCATTTTATTGCACTGTAAAGAGATTAGTGGCTGTTCTAAGCCAGTGGCTCCCAAAAATGTGGTCTCTAGACCAGCAGCGGCTTCTGGAAAGTGGTTAGAAATACACACTTCAGCCCATCCTCTGCTTCATCAGAAACCTCGAGGCTATATCCTGGTGGTGTGTGTTTTAACCAGTCCTCTCCAATTTGTCATCCATTCCTTGGGGCTTCTTGTTTTCCTGATTAGCTCTTATTAGTCAAAGGCAAAGGATGAAAAACAAAAATCCTTCCATCTTCTTTAGGTTAGTGGTGTAAGTGAGGGCACAGGGTGGGCTTGCTCAGTCTGAGGATGCTAATTGGCTGAAAAGCTACTACATTTTTTTTAAAAGTACTATGTAGAGGGATGCATTGGAAATGGAATGTGTTGGGCTCTGCATCCATCATATTTTTTTTAAAAGTTTCTGTATCTTATGATTCTCGACATGTTGGGATGGTTCAGAGCCCTAGAAGGGCTACCGCTTCCACAGTCAGCTGATTTCCAGAGAGATTAAAAGACTTGTCCGGTACTTTGATCGATAAACCAATGAATCCTACACTCATATCCCCGTCTTCTTGTGTGAAGACACCACAGTTGGGCACACTGCTTTGCTGTCCCCAGTCACCTGAGGGCTGGGTCCCAGTGCACTTCAGACTGTTCCTGCTGACTGAAGCCTCCTGAAATTATTCAAACCTCCCACTCTGAAGCCTGTCCGGCTGCTGACCTTACCTACCTGATGCTTAACGGTTTCTCCTCCCCTCTTCTGTGTACCAGCTAGCTAGCCTGGTCCAGTCCCATGTATCTCTGGAGCATTTTTGTGCCCGCCCCCCCCAACGGAATCTATTAAACTTCTTTCAAAGGCTGCCTCTGTGTCTGTTATCTTACCATACTCTAGTAGGAAAAACCCCAAGTGCATGTAAGACAGAGTTGAGTCTCCATTTCACTCTGCGATTTACTCATCATGTGGCCTTCATTTCCTCAGCCAGCTTCAAGACCTAGAGAATACAGCAGAACAGAAATATTGAATATGAATAGAATATTCATAAAGTGAATGAGACCTGAAAGACATAGTTGTATGGCCAAGTAGAACACATGTGATAGGAATGAGGAAGGGTAGCACTCGGGGTGGAAAGGTTTAAGCAGGGGTGGTGTTAGGGAGATGGGAGAGAAGAGGGGTAGGAAGGACACCATAACCAAAATGAAAGATGCAGGAAGAGTCATAAGGATACCTAATACTTCATAAGCTGGTTAAAATGTACAAAGAAAAATCAAGGGATAAAAATGCTCCCTTGGCTCAAATATGACCAAGTGCATCACACAGATAAGTGGCGGTTCAGATTTATCAGTCCTTCCTAATGTTCAATTAGCAGCAGTAACACAGTAGGAGCCATTTCCTGTACTGCTCTGTGTGCTCTCCAACTGAGAACCTTCCCCCCTCCACATTAATAAGTGGTGGCCGCGGTCCCTGGTAAGGGACTAAAGTCTGATAATTAGTCTTGTAAACAAGAGAATTAAAGGGAGCATAGTTTATCCCTTCTCCTCAGCTCGAGTGGCATTTTGACACGCTGTGCCTACCTTTGCTAATTACCTGATAAGCGAACTTATCAGCCTATAGGGGAGAGAACAAGAATTTGGAATTTGAAACCGTGTTGGCCTTCAGACAAATGTGGTTCTGTGACCTTCAGCAAATCACTTAATAGTTCCAAACTTCAATTTCTTTATCTGTAAGAAGGAGATAAGAATATCTATCTTGGAAAGATGCTCCAAGAGAGCGGTGTGAAGTAAGGACTGCATCTCATTAGAGGGGGGCCTGGAATCTGAACCTGGCCGGTCTGAAGCTCCTAGCCAACAAACAACCAGGTCTCTAGATGCCGCTTTCACTAATTAACTCTCCTGACCAGCTTCTGTCTTTCTCCCCTACACCCTATGAATATATTGTGAATACACAATATGAAAATATTGCTCAGGATTTGAATCATTTCCTTCTTTCTCCCTGAAATTAATGGCCCACGTGAGATTTTACAGCTTGAGACCAAAACCCCTACACATACAGTCACTCCTGTTTAGCACAAAGCGGCTTCAGCCAGTAGCCCAGCCAGTTTGGCTACTGGGCTCAGCTCCCTGGATTCAGTCATCTCAGGAGAAATGCTTGTCTGTCAGTCTATCTATCTATCTATCTATCTATCTATCTATCTATCTATCCATCTATCTATCTAGACAGCCTCATGTAGCCCAGGCTGGTCTCAAACTCATTATATAGCCAATAATGAACTCGAACCCCTGATTCTCTTGTACTGGGATGGATTACATCATCATCATGCTTGGCTAAGACAGTGTCACATGTGCATCCTACAGGGCAACTGGGGGAAATGTTCAAGTCCCAACCCCAAGAAAGGCGTTGGCTCATCTAGAAGCCTTCCTTTATGCCACTTGTTCTCAACCTGTGGGCTACAGCCCCTTTGGCAAACCTCTATATTCAAAAATACCTCTAATTTATAACAGTAGCAAAATTACAGTTATGAAATGAAAATAACTATGGCTGGGGTCACCTCAACCTGAGCAGCTCTATTCAAGGGTTGCAGCGCTAGGAAGGCTGAGAACCACTGTTTTATGCTGCCAAGCTCCTAATTCTTGCAGGCCCTGCTTTTGGAAGCCTTTTAAAGAAATCTCACTCAGATTTCTGCTTGAATACTGCCGTTCTCACCAGGCCTTTGTGCTGTAGGGAGGGATTTGTGGTGAAGTTGCCAAAGGTTTCAAGTATTTTCTTGCCTGAATCCAGTTGACCGTTCTTGAATTTCTTGTTTGACCTCTTGGCCAGGCACCCGAGAAAGTCTCATGGAACTTCTTTTGATTCACTGATTGCATTTAAGGCCCAACCTGGTGTGGAATGTTTTTTATTTGAAACAATTAAGTGGTTGTATATCACACTATCAACAAATGTCCCCAGCAGAGTGACTTGCCAGTGAACTCATATTCACAGCTCCGGAGGAGTAGCCTTTTTGAACAGTTCCTTTCCCCGGGGATAATGGCTTTTCATTTCCAAACACAGGATAATAATGCTATAGTCTCAATATTGTAGTTTCAGGTAAAGATCCACTTGTCAGTTCCTCTGACACAACGTTTTCTGTTCCAAGAACATAGATTGGAACATTTCGGAGTTGCAGGTCAAGGTGTGTCTCGTGTGTCATTTGAAGCGGTAACAATTTTTGTCTGCAGTGGGTCAGAGAGTAAAACATTCTAGGTTTCACAGACAAAAATGTCTGTCACAGAAGTATAGAACTTTGCCCTTGTCGCATGAATGCAGTCATAAGTGTTCCAGCAAAACTTTATTTACAAAAACAGGAGATAGAGCCGACTAGGCTCATATGTATTTCCTTCTGCAGCCCTCTTCTTCGGCCTTTTTGTGAGTGCTCATTATTCATCTGGACCTTGAACTTATTTATTTTGGCCTAAAGTGTTTTTTTTTTTTGATCCTAATTTGTTTTTAAGTGCTTTTTATTTTCAGAGCAAGATAATCACACTTTCCCCAAAGGCTGAAACCTCATGTGGCAGGTGACACGTATTGAAGAATCACCTTATAAGGAACGATCCACCCACCCTCTCTCCTCTATCAATCCCACCCACTCGCAAATGTTCCTTTAATTTCTGTGGTGAGTAAAAGGAACCTTTATTACATTACATTAGATTCCGAAAACTATTTTTAACATCTCGAGAGTTGTGTTTTTACTTCCATCGACTTATTTTCATGAATCCATGCATTCTTTCCTACACATGTCTGAGTTTGGAATGAAAAGCATCAAGTTTTCTATTACTATCATTGAAAGGAGGTTTCGTTTTTTGGGCTTGCTTTTTTTTTCTCAGATGTTTAATGTTCAAGAATGAAGTCTGCTCTGTGAAGGATGTATGGGTAGACCTTTGGAGGCAGATGAAGGCTATGACTCCAGCTGGCAACCCACTGTCACCGTTCCAAATGGATCGGAAGCCATGAGGCTCAAGAAGATTGTGGGGAGAAAGAAAGAGGCCTGCACTTTGGGCCTCCTTGGGCCGTTCTTCTCTCCCCTGTGCACTGCGTACACCCTCAGCTGCTGATAGGCAGTGTCTCACAATGATTCCCATGTCACCCCCTTCTCAAGTCTAGTCCTGGACCACCCAAAGCTGTGTTTTTATCTTGGAGTTACGAAGGCATTTGCTGTCACATGATTTTGTTTGCTGTGAGATTAAAACAAAAAGGCACTGCCCACCGGAAGTCCCATTATCAGTGGCGTGTTTAGAAACCCCGCCCCCTTATGAGGCCGCAATAAGACTGGTTCTTTTTTTTTCTTTTTTTAATATTTATTTATTTATTATGTATACAGCATTCCTTCCATGTATGTGTGCAGGCCAGAAGAGGGCACCAGACCCCATTACAGATGGTTGTGAGCCACCATATGGTTGCTGGGAATTGAACTCAGGACCTTTGGGAGAGCAGGCAACGCTCTTAACCTCTGAGCCATCTCTCCAGCCCCAAGACTGGTTCTTGAAAGTGCTTTTTAACTAGGAATAAGGAAGCATTTTCCTTGCTTTTGTTTTTCCCCTCTTTCACTGTGTTACACCAGGAACTGTTGCTGCTAGGGCTATAACACTGAAAATCAGACACTGTCCTTGGTCTCACAAAGCTCACATTCCTAAGATGTATTATGCAACTAAGAACAAACATTCTTGGGGAAAATCCATCTGCAATGAAGTATTGTTGACAGTCAATGAGCATAGAAGGGCTCCAACATGCTAGGATGTTGTTAAATTGCTCAAAACCTGCCTGTGTTTGGGGCGCCATGTAGCAAGCAGAAAGTAAGGTTAAGATCTGTTATGGGATATATATATATATATATAGTAATTTAACTTTATTTCATGCACACTGGAGTTACAGACAGCTATGAGCTACCATGTGGGTGCTGGGAATTGAACCCAGGTCCTTTGGAGGAGCTTTCAGTGCTCTTAACTGCTGAGCCCTCTATGGGATATATTTTTAAAGCTGGGAGAATCTCAAGGTGTGGGATTAAGGACTGACCAAGCCTGGCCAGATAAGAACATGAATATACAATACAGTCATGCTGTGCCTCCTTCATTGGTATCTGCTGAATTCCGGTGTTGCTGCCAAAGTTATGTGCACAAACTGTGTTTATCTGGTTTACAGCTGTTCCTGAACCTTCCTCCTACACTTCCACCATCTTATGACCTCTGGCTGGACAGGAACAGGTGAGCAGCATTTCACTGTGCTGCGAATTCATGATCTCTGTATCATTAAGGGATAAAATTTAAATCATTTCAATAGTATTGAAATGTTCACTGCCCTTCCCCATGTAGAAAGGCAGCTTTTCATGATTTGAATTTGATCATGATCAAAGACTGTGATTAACCGATCTTTCTAGTGGAACCAAATAAGTCTGAATTCATTCTGGGGAAGCTGCTGAAAGAAACACTTTATGGAAACACAAAAAACATCGTAAACAGTGACTGCCTGGGAGGAACTAGAGAACAAAATACACGGATGCCCTGTGCTCATCAAAACACACGGGGAAAATCTTTTCCTGTATCTTTTGTGGCTGCTAATGAGTCTGATTCATATACTTACCTGTCATTTTGAACAATTCTGGCACCACAAAGAGTACTCTTCCTTTTCCTAAAAAAAAAAGAAAAAAAAGAAAAGAAAATAGAAAGCTCTAGTCCAAACCAAGAGCCTCTGTAGGTTGTCTTAATTGCTACTTTGCACTGCAGTGGACTTTGACTGATTTTTGGCACATGCTATCATACACAGAGTTCCTAAAATAAAATGCTCCAGGATATCCTAGGAACTCTTAGAAGGCTTTAAAAGGGGACTAGCACACTGAAAGAGTAGCCTTTGAGGACGACAGTTCAGACAAGGAGAATGGCTGGCATGGCAGAATTACATGACTAATTGAGATCTTGAAGTGGCTGCAGACTGTCCTTGCCACCTAACTTATCATGGTTAGGGGGAGGTTGCGAATTCCGTTTTGATAAAGACAATTGTGCGCTCCCCTCCCCAAGTGACTATACATTTAAATAGCTAAAACATCTGTGCAGCAACCTAGTAAAACATGTATACTCGGAACGCTTGAGCAGAAAGCCTGCCAAGCGACCGCTTGAGAGGGACTTTGCTGAGAGAGAGAGCACCAAGATAAAGCAACTGCTGTTTGTTTTGTCTAGTCAAGGGAGAGCCAAGGCAACCAATATTTTGGGTTTCTTTTATTTCGTTTGTGAAAGATTATTTAAGAAAGGGTGTCGAGGGGAAGTTTCCTGACAGGAATTTTTAAAGCTGTCTATTAGCAGACGAGCAGGAGAGTCTTGGATGTCAACGCCTGACAAACTCTTGAGACTAGCTACCAAACCACGAAAAGTGATTTTCTTTCTGAGTCTTTTCTCCGGCCCTTCCGATGGAAGCAGAAACGGGGAGCACCATGGAGACCGGAAAGGGCACCAGTCGAGGCGTTCGAATTGCACTGGCCCTGTTTGTTGTTGGCACCCTGGTCCTGGGCACACTGCTCTTCCTAGGTAAGTAGAACTCCAGAGGCCAGAGGAACTGGGCATCTATGGAGAAACTTTCTAATTCTTTATTCTAGAAACCCTTGTCATAATGCAGGCTGTTTGTGTATGCTAAAAAATAAAGATGCACCCTTAGTTTCAGCCAGATATGTCAGTGAAAAAGGAGGCTTTTTTAAAGCACCAAATATATAGTCCAGGAGACAAAGTGGATTAGAAAGTGGTTTGGAATGGCTGGTGGGTTCGATTGCACTGAGGGGGGAGTACATTATGTATTACATTTCCCAGATTGTTTTATGAATTCATGGTTATATACTTGCCTTTGTTTTGTGAGGGAACAGCCACACTAGAATTTCTTTTTGTTTGACTTTTGTTCATGGTCGCTTGAACAAGTTACAAAGTACAATTCACAAAAGATAAATCAGTCCTTACATGGGATTCTTCGAATCTTTGTTAATCCGGTGATTTTGATAGATGCAGAATGGTTAACGCCACCTTCCTGATAGAGTTCAAAATGAAGGTGAAAGATTTGAAAGGCAGTGAGATTCAATCACTTTCCTAACTCCTGTGAGAATGCTGTACTCAGAGAGAATGTGTAGACAAAAGCATTTTCCCAGGGAGGGGGAAAGCATGAAACCTGTTGGAAAGGGACAGGGGATGCTCGAGAGTTTAGAGTTTCCAAACCTCTGGCTATTTTTCTTCTTATGTAACTCCTAGTATTTCATTGGCTTGAAGGTCACTTAGAAACAAGCCCTATATTTAAGAGCTTCTAGGTGTATCTTGAAATGAAGCAGGCCTGGAAACATTCCTTGGCATATACAGGATGCGGGAGGCCATGTTTATTTTGGCAAGAGAAAACCAGTAATTAACTTTTAAAAGAGTTAGGCTTGTGTGGTTGAGATCCCTGCTAAAACGAGCAAACCACCTTTCCATGTTTTCTATGGCTGAAGAGTTAAGAAATTAGATCAGTATATTGCTTTCTGGTAAAGCTGGACCTTCTACTCCTGGGACTGAATTTGTGGGTCTTAAAAACTATTGTGAGGTTTCTCCAAACTTGGCTTTAGACAATCAACTTTCTGAAATTTTAAACTGGAGGAGAAATTTTATGGGCATGCCAAGGAACTACTCATGATGTGGGAAGTGATTAAGGGGCTAGGTTTACACATACTCCAAGTGGTCATCATGAAGTGTCAATATGCGATCCTTTTAGGGATGTTAATAGCGATTTGCAACTTTTTTCAATTCTGCTTTTATGATCATTGCACTTTGAGACCATAGCATTCCAGAAGATGATCATTTAGAGCAAAATTGTGTTGCTCTTGAGAAAATGAATTTTGACACAAACATTAAAGTTTTTAGGTAAAGTAAACTTTACTAAATCAAGTATCGCTACTCTGGAGGAGGCCTGGCTAAGAAAGATAACTTTTCAGTATGTCTAGTAACCTGACTCTCACCTTGAATCATCTGGAGTACATCTAATGATGATGGACAATAAACAGGACCAGCTAAGGGTGTGACCTCATTCTTCTTTTGTTGTTCCGCGTGGTCTTCTAACCGGCAACATCAGCATCACTTGAGAGTTTGAGCTCCTCTACCCCCAGATCTACTGATTCAGTCTGTATTTTCACAAGACACTAGAGGATTCATTTGCATGTGCAAGTCTGGAAAACATTGTTTCAGAGTGCATCTATCTGAGGGTCTACAGTCAGGAATGTTTATTCATTCATTCATTCACCCATTTATTTATTTGTTTGTTTGTTTACTTATTTATTTATAACACGTTCCCACTATGTGTAGTAATAAGAGCGGCGGGGCTGCGTCCCCAGCACCCCGGCTGCCTGGCTAGCTCATGCCCGAAATAACAACACACAAACTGTATTCATTTAATCACTGCTTGGCCCATTTCTATCTAGCCTCTTCTAGGCTAATTCTCTCATATTAATTTAGCCCATTTCTAATCATCTGTGTAGCGCCCCTAGGTGCGCTTACCGGGAAGATTCTAACCTATGTCCATCCTGGGTTGGAGCTTCATCACGTGCGTCTGCCTGGGAGCTGGGAGCATGGCGTCTCTCTGAGGCGTCTGCTCCCGAGAGGAGGGCTGTGGAGTCTGACCTCACTTCCTGTTCCTCCTAGTGTTCTGTTCTGTTTACTCCTCCCACCTATCTTCTAACCAATGAGGGCCAAGCAGTTTCTTTTTATTTAACCAATGACCTTCCTCCATCAACTATGTATCCCTGTCTGGCCTGGAACTTACTATGTAGATCAGGCTGTGACTATTACGACTAACTGTGATATTCCTGCCTCTGCCTCCCAAATGCTGAGATGACATGACTGTACTGCCATGCCTATCTAAGAACTTTTATATTTTTGCCAACTATTTCAGCACAATGGTTTCCCCCACATCTTTCTCCACGGTCTGCCCCCAAGAACCCAAACTCTGCATCTTGCTTGCTAAATGCCTGAAAAACCATGTTCTTCATGACAACAGTCTAGTTATGATCTTCCTTGGAAGGCGCTTCTTTGTTGACATTGCAGTATGCGCTCTGCATGTCCATGTTCAGTCATATGTCTACGATGCCTAGCATCCTGCCTCACCTCTCCTTTGGCTTTGTCATATACAGAAAGAATGGCTGCCAGTGGTCCGAGGTGGTTTCAGAGAACCTGGGGATTTAAAAATATCAAGTATAGCAATAGAGCCACACATCATTTCAAGTGTTCTCTTCTTCCTTCCTTCTCCTTCCTTCCTGAAATCTGTTTCTCAGATGCAGTGCTCTGCAAGCTTTTCCTGTCAAGACCAGATGAGAGTAAATATTTCTGGCCCCATTGCCATACATTCCTTGTTGCAGGACTCTTTTTCATCGTACCACTAAAGCATCCCTAGACAAAACAGGCACGAATGGGAGCCAGGAAGATAAGTTTTCTCGATATTGAAGCTATATGATCCTTCATTGGATCCCTCCCCCATCAAAAAAGGCCTTTCACAGAGATAGGAAGAAGTGACCTCAGTCTGGTTTGTGGGTTCTAGTCAGTACTTGGGTGATGATTCTCTCAGCTGTATGGTCTTTCTCAAGCTTTCCATTCTGTGTTTTTTTTTTTTTTATCCGTGTCGGGGGTGGAAATCAGGACATTGCGCATGTGTTGTAAGTATTCTATCACTGAGACGTGTTACTGGCTTCACTCTTACTCTCTTGATCTGTGGATATCCCCAGCGCATCTTTGGGGGGGATTCTAAGTTGAGCTGCTTGACTTTTTCAAAAAGCTTCTAAAGAGTTAAAAGTAATGCCTGATTGTTTTATAGTAAACTATTTTCTATCTCATTCATTTCCGTTTCATTTATTTAATTTTTAATTTGGGCTTGTTGATCCTTGTCTGTTTCCAGGACTTTAATCCATGTGGGCATAATGTTCTCTTTTTGAGGGATATGGTCTCTGTCTGTGTCCCAACTGATTAAAGTCAAAACCTTCCTCATATATACTGTCAGGTAAAAGAACTGACATTAGCTTGAAGTCCTTACAAGCCACACTGGCTTGAAAGTTGCAGTGAGATTCCTGGTTGTCCTTGAATCCCCGATTTTCCCCACCTCTTTCAGCAAAGTTTTGAGAAAGGATAGCTTTTTAGCCATTTTATAAGATTTAAACAAAATAAAGCTACTAACAAGAACATATTATCTAGAATAATAAAATTATTAATATTTATAGTAAAATTTGTATTTCCTTTATAAAAATACCACCTGCTCCTAAAAGAACTTTTGGTAAATATGTAAAAATTGACAAAAAGGAAGAACTCCCCATAGATCTACCATCAAGGTACATTAGAATGTCCTGTACTGATCTTTAAGCTGTTTATATATTTTTACCTATTTTTTTTTCTTGCAGGAAAACTCCCACTCCTTTCAGGTTTTAAGACTTCTTTTGAAAATAAGCCCGAGAGATTCTGTAGGCAGGTTTCTTGAATCTATAATGGAGCACAGATAAAAAAGACTGTTTGGAGAATGGGAGTGGAGAAAAGAACAAAGACAAAGCAGACTCCTCTTAGGATGTGGGTTCATAAATAATAAGACATGCCATACTGACAGGTGACCTGCAGGGCTGCATCTCGAGCAGAAGCATCAACACGCTAAGGTTTCTTGATTGCGCTTCTCAGCCCCCTTGTCCATTTCTTCATGGCCAGCTCTTCAAAGATCCCTTGTTTTTGTTCACGGAGTGCAGCAATAATGAAAGGCTCACAATTTCTCCAGCTATGGAGGAAAAAAACGTGGATTTCGAAAAGCTTTTAGATTTAAGGCTCATATTTGCCAATGTCCAGATTCTACCTGGAGTTCAAAACCAGTGGTGCATTCTTCTATGCTTTTACAAAAGCACTCATGTCCAGCCTGTGTCTGCATCCCGCATGTAGTCGAAGACAGCTATGCATGTGGCCTGACACGAAAATCTTAACTTACCTAAAGACATTATGAGATTAAAAACATGTTTTCATTTTGTGACTTGGCAGCATGATTCTTAAGCCTGAACTTTGTAGAAGACACTGCCATGTCAAAGGACTGGAAATGTCTGATAGGTTGTTGCCAGTTGGGAATATTAAACACTGGTGAAAACTGTTTCGATTGTACAGGAGTGTGTGTTTGTGTGTGTGTGTGTCCATAATGCAGCCTGCACAGTTTGTGAGAGGCTCTGGGTTCAGTCTCTGCCAACCAAATCATAAACACATACAATGGCTCTGCCTCTCCCTTAGAGTTTCTGAACCTGGAGATTTGGAGTAAGGATGTGCACTCTACCAAGCTTCCAGGTGCAGCTGTGGCCCCGGTGACCTGACTCCTCAACACAGCTCCTTCTACCCCTTCTACCCACTCCTTCCTCATAGGATAGGAGGGAGTTTAGAACAACCATGAGTCCTAGCAAGGCTGTTTACATATTCATCAAGGTGTTTCCTTGGTTTCGAGCCAACTTGATTTTTTGACTACCATGTCAATACTGAGAAGCGTGAACTGATGGCAAATGTCTTGTATATGTGCCCAGATGGGTTTTACTTGATGGTGGTCTGCTACAAGTCAATCATTTATTTTGGTCTGTTTTTGCAGTGAGTCAAGGTCTCCTAAGCTTCCAAGCTAAACAGGAGTACTGTCTGAAGCCAGAGTGCATAGAAGCCGGTAAGTCTGTTTTCCACCCTGTGTCGAGTTATAATTTTGGTACCTTGGGGAGTGGAAGAGAAAACAGGTAGTATTTTTAGTGTTCTGTTTGCTTGAGGTTGACCAAATACAAAAAGCAATTTTGAAGGTATTTCAAGTTTACTTTCAAGGTTTGGTGTGAAGTAGTGGAGATTAGGTTTCCTGTTTTCTTTGTAAAAGCCGAGCTGTACGGCATTTCAGCCCTCATGATAAGGGACTCTGGAAAGGGCTTGCAAACCAGGACATCCTCCCTTAAATCACACAGGGACCATGGGCCTCCCAGGACTCTGCTGGACAGATTCCTCTTTGTCTTAAGCAGACTTTGTGTATCCTCTGGGCCAATGAGCATGGCCCATTTGGTTCTAAACAGGGACACTGGCAGTCTATGCTTCTGGGTTAGTAAATCCTGCTTGCGTCCCCATAATTCATTTAGGGCCTAGATTTGAAGAAGCCAAATCCTTGCCTCCAGCCCCACCCCAAGTTCTTTAAGGGGGCAGGACCCTAGGACATTTTCCAAAGAGAAATTCATGGGACAATTAAACATGCAGGCTTTTCCTCTTGACAGGAGAAGAAGAGATTAATGCGTGAATTCAACAAATAGTTATTATTCATGCCAGTGACTGAGTTAGGTTTTGGTTTATATATGGTTAGGCTTATATCACAACAAATAGCTAGAGAGAGGAAAAAAATAAAACCACACACACAGACACACACACACAGACACACACACACACACACACACACACAGGTCTGGGAATGTAGCTCAATTTGTAGAATAGTTGCCTATCATTTATGAAGCTCTGAGTTCACTTCTCAGCACACAAAAATTGGACATGGTGATACATGGCTGCAACCCCAGTATTCTGGACTGAAAGACAGGAAGATCAAGAGTTCATGGCCGTCCATAGCTACTTAGTAAGTTTGAGGCCAGTGTGCATTATACGAGACCCTGTCTCAAAACAATGCTAAAACAAACCAAAATCAAAATCCATAGAAGGCACACAGTATACAAACATATGATCAGAAAATGAAAATATCCAAACAGACTCATGTGCTAATAAGTGACAGAATGGCCAGATTGAAGGTTCTGGGAGTAGGAGCTTCAAAAAGACATTGAATAATGAGAAGGGAAATGGGATGTGAAGACCGAGGCAACGGCTTTCCTTTGGGCAAAAGGTGCCATAGAGGAATGAGCTTGAAGGATGGCAGCAATTTCTGGGTGAGGAGCACCGTGCAGGCGGAAGGGTTCTGTAGGTGACCTAGGTGCCATGGGTTTGGGACTTTCTTTAGTGTTCTCTAGTGTTTCTTGAGAGTTTTGGGAGAAAACATATGAGCTCTTAATTAAGATCATGACAGCCAGCTGTGGTGGCACGTGCTCCTGGTCCTAGTACTTGGGAGGTGAAGCCAGCCAGGGTTACCTAGTGAGTTCAAGGACAGCATTGAGATGCATGGAAAGAAACTGTCTCAAAGTAGCAACAGCTGTCTTTCTGTAGATAACTTGGCTTTGGGGAGAAATGCAGAAAACACAATCAGAAAGGAGGTTGCAGTCAGTAGGCCAGGCGAGAGAGGATGTTGCTTAATTTGAGGTGGAGATTGCCAAAGATCTAGGAGCTGGGAGGCTTCCTGAAGGCATTGTGGTAGCCATGTGGTTGAGATGTATTGTGGGAAAAGGCAGGATTTAGATGGTAAGCAGTAGCGTTAATTGAGCTGGGAAAGGCTTCATAACCTGCTGGTTGTGATGGTGCACACCTTTAATCTCAGGACTCAGGAGGTGGAGACAGGTGGTTCACTGTGAGTTCAAGGCCAGCTTGGTCAGGGAGCTGTGGAATGGCTGTTGAGTCCACGTGTCCTGAGAACTAAAGTCAAGTCTGGCTTTATGCAAGAGCTTGTGTTCGGGTGGGGAAAGGGTGCATAGGCACAGGTGCCAGTGGTGAAAGGCCTGGGCATGGAAATGTCTGACCCACTCTCGCTTTTTTTCTGAGCAAGTGGCAGTCATTTGTGAGATGCCTCCTCTCTAAAACTCGGCATTTCTTTCTTGTCCTCCTGATCTCTTCTCCTAACTCCTCTTTGGCAATGCAAACGGCAGAAAGACTACGGAGAAACAATGGAGATAGGGTGGCTTGGATTTGGAATATACACAATCCAGATACTTCTAGGTCCCATGATCTCAAACTGCAGTCTCATTACCTGTGAAATGGGACTAGAATTTTTGAACATTCATATGAGTTGTGGAAATCAAAGAAAAGAAAAATTGTAATAGTACCCCTGCATCAAAACCCTCAATCCCTGAAAGCAATGTAACCCCAATTTGTAGCATCAAACCCCATCTCAGTTCCTTTGGCAAAACTGGGCTTATAAGCAAAAGTAGCCAGTGTGAAGCCATTTTAGACTTTATTCACTCCATTTATGAGAGTATGCATTTATTTCCCTGTAGAAATATTAATGTGCTTGTTTTAGTGGTACCAATTCAGCCATTGCTGAGCTATTCGGTCACCTGTGGTTATATATGGTGTACGTTCTTTTGCAAAATTTGAAAATCTGCCAGCTCTGGAAATCTAGTATCAGTTTTAGATGACCGTTTATAGAATTTTATTTTCAAAATGCTTACATGCATGTGAGTAGTTCCGGGTTTAGCTATCTCTGTGTACACAAACTCAGTTGAGAAAATGCCTCCATCACATGGCCTATAGGCAAGTCTGCAGGAGTATTTTCTTGATAAATGATTGATGTGGGAGAGTCCGGCCCATTTCGTGGAGTGGTACCCCTGGGCAGATTTAAGGAAGGAAGATGAGCAAGAGCCCAAGTAACAAGCTGGGAAGCAGCATTCCTCTGTGGTCTCTGCTTCAGTTCCTGCCTTGTCTTTTTCCCATGATGAACTGTGTCACTTAAAGCCAAATAAACCCTTTCTTGCAAAAGTTGCTTTTGGTCGTGGAAACCGAACTAGGACAATTATTTCGCTCTTGCATAGTGTTACTGTCATTCCAACCCAAGCAGCCTCACACGCTAGAGTTTGTGAAAAAAAAGCTTTATTGCTCAAACAAGGGCTTAGCATATATAGTTCTGGGCGCAGGGCAAATGTTCAATGTGAGTGATTTGATTATTTCATAGAAATATTAATATGCACACCTTTACAAAACGTTTCTTTGAACCCGGATTGAAACCAACACCTCTGAGGGTCCCTGTGGAGGAACGCTTCCACCTGTACCGTATAGACTAGTGGGAGCCCTTCCAACGTTAGCCTCATGGGCAACACTTGAGAGCTTCGCAGCTAGCGCCTTCACAGCTTTTATATATATGTTTATTAAAACGAGAGTCTCAGTTTTCTCTATGGGGCTAGTAGGAAAATGGAGTTTTGGTGTCTTGACAACGATGGTCCCTTGCAATTTGAAGTCCCAGTTCTGCACAGAGAGGGCAGCCCTGCTCCTAACTGTGAGCAGGGAATGATGGATTGCAAGGCTGAGGGAAGAGTGTTCTCGCTCCGCGGGCTCCTTTCCAAATGCAGCGTGAGTGATGTAGTCTTTCGCTTTTCTAGCGGGGCCCCGAGGTCAGAGCTGAGTTTGCAGTTTTCCTCAGTACCTGTGAGAAAACCCAAGGAGATAGGGAAAGAGACATTTAAGAGTTGGGGCCAGGGGGGCTGGGAAGGAAGCCAGAAAGCAGTGAGCTTATGTGAGTCAAAGTGCGTGCGAGAGCTCCCCATGGGACTGTAAATATTGTGTGCAACTGAGACTCACGTGTTCAATGTCCCTGAGGTGTGACATGGCAGATTCCATCTGTGACTGCACAGACTGACGGCAACTACAAGCCAGAAGAAAGATTTTTGTGTGCTCTAGCACTTTTGAATATTAAAAATATTGGGGAAATAGTAGCTGTAAGCAAAACTGTAGAGACAGTGGAATTAGTTCTGGAACAAAGAAAAAAGTTAAACCAACTTGAAATTTATCACACTTTCAAATCAAGTTTCTCCCCCAAGATAGTGGTTGAAAATGGTGAAAATTCGAAGTCCTATGGAAATTATGCCCTGGGCAGTGAAGAGGTAGAGGCAGAAGAATGACGGTGAGTTAGAAGCCAGCCTTGTTTACACATCAAGTTCTAGGCTAGCAGCTAGGATTAAATAGTGAGAGCCTGTCTAAAAATACAAAAATGAAACAAAAAAGTAGGGTGTTTGCCTATTCATTTCAATGTCTCCAAGCAGTGGTTTTTCCATCAAAAGGGTAGGTAGGGAAGCATCATCTAGCCTCGTTTTTTAAGCTGGTGGAAGTGCCCCCATAACCAAAACATATGCCTCTCAATTTATTTCGATTGTACTGGGGTGGGATATTCATTTTTATTTAGCCGAAAACTCATTGGATTTTCATTATTTCGAGTAGAAATGTGTTCTGGTATTAATTAAGGTATGAAAATTGCTCAGAGTGTCATCCTTCCAATGTCATTAAAATATTGGCAGTCTTTTAAAACCTCGGATGGTGCGCATCTCTGCAGCCAGCAACTGTGTTGCAGCTGGAAGATGGTTTAGAGATGAGTGCTAGGAATACTGGAACCTTCTCTTTTTCTCATTTTGTAGTAATTCCTTAAAGGTCATAGATGCAGCCAACTGTAGCGCCTCATACCTGTAATCCCAGGACTTGGGAGGCCAAGGCAGGAGAATGGCTATGAGGCTGGCAGTCATTTCAAGAAAATGAAATTACATCGCCAGGGTCTCTTAACTTTCCAGGAAGACATCTTCAAAGGATGGTCCTAAGGCTCCATTTGAAGGGATCCGGCAGAGAGGGTGTAGAACTTCTTAGATGCTCAGCTTAGAAAATCACAAGAAGCCATTCCTACCAGGTCTGTTGATCAAAGAAAGTGACAGAGAGAGCCCAACGAATCCACTTGAACTGGGCAAATGGACTTTATTGTTCCAGAGGAAGTGCAGCCAATTTAGCATGCAGGGGAATATGTTGGATGGAAGAAAGGTCACCGAACAGTTGGTGCATTTATATTCTAGTTCTACACCCCAAACACATTAGTGACAGCCTGACAGAACTAGGACTAAGAATCTCACCCAGCTTTCTCCTGTACACTCTGAAGGCAGTCATTTTCTATGGTGAAGTTCATCCAGAGAGATATTTGAGGCGACATGTTGAAGCCAGGGTGTGGAACCTGGTTGATATGATTTTTTTTTGTTTCATTTGGAAAAGAACAGTGCACAATATCTAACGCTTGTCATTAATCCTGTGATTTTCTTTTTAAACAGCTGCTGCCATCATGAGCAAAGTAAATCTTTCTGTGGATCCTTGTGAAAATTTCTTCCGGTTTGCTTGTGATGGCTGGATAAACAATAACCCGATTCCTGAAGATATGCCAAGCTTTGGGGTTTATCCTTGGCTCAGACACAATGTTGACCTCAAGCTGAAGGGTAAGTTTCTGCTAGAGTTTGGTGGTACTCTTTCCAGAGTAATATTTGACAAGAAGAAGAGTTCAGTATTTGAATTTGGACTATCCAGTCTTAAACTATACTATAGTCATTTCCAAAAAAAAAATTGTTTCAGTAGAAGATAGAAAGTTTTTTGAATTTTAATCTCCCTGATTTCCTTAAGACAAGCCCATTGTAGGCTGTTACTTTTTGACTTGATAATGCCACTGTAAATTCTATTTCAGAAGGTTAACTAACACTTGATAGAGCTTAAGAGCACAGAGATAGTTACTGACCAATACGCTGTATCAAGAAACTTCTTTGTCTACTGTGTTCAAGGTAAAGCTCTTTTCTTTCTTATTTCCTCCTGGATTTTCATGGCTTACAGAATGTTCTTCACGCCTCATCGTCTTTTGACATCATTTTGGAGAACTCTGGACGACCCACGGTTGTCATATTGTTCCTGTTATCTTCCAAGTTAGCTTTTAGGCCACTCGCTTTTCTCCCATGACCTCTGGAGCAATGACAAGCTCACACACACATACTCACATGTGCACATACACATTTTCATGTGTGCTTGTGTAACCCCTGCCAAAAGTTGGAAACATCTGTTGCTGGACAAGATGGTGTTTGTGTTGAGTCGAGTTTTTATGTTAAGCTTTCGGAGGAAGTTATTGAAGGAGGAAAGTACAAAAATTTCAAGACTAGATAAAGTTTCAAAACTAGAGAGGATAAAAATCATATTTTCCCTCTTTTTGATAACTGTAAAGTATGTTGTGTAATGTACTCAGTAACACAAAGAATTTTGGGGACCTGAGGAGAATTATATTTCTTTTCCATCTTCAATTTTCTGAAATTTTAAGTGCATGGTTATTAAATACGTAGCAATTTGTGTGTTTTATATAATGTGAAACCACTGTCAAAATAATTAGAAGCCTATTTTAATTGTGAGGAAAATGTATTTTCATAAATAGATCTAAATCACATAAGTTTACATTTTTTTATTAGGAGGCTTAAATTTAGTCTGGATAAATTATGAATGAGAGTTTCGAAGAACGTCAGGGGTTTCCTCTAACCTGATAGATGAGATTCTTGTGCTGTCGAGCCATAAATAATACCTTTTGCACTGAATTCCTAGACTAGTACTTATTCTTGTAAGACAATTAAAAAAATCTTTATGTTATGTGTTTGGGTGTCCTGCCTGCATGTGTGTATGCGCCCCACATGCTTTCTCGGTGTCTGCGGAAGTCAGAAGAGGACTTTGATTTCCTAGAACTCCCATTAAGGATGCTTGTGAGCCCCCATGTGGGTACTGTGAGTCGAACTCTGTTCCTCTGCAAGAGTAACAAGTGCTCTTAATTACCGGTCATCTCTTCATCTCCTCTCTGTGCGTTATTAGTTTATGTTGATCCTTCATCCACCATCATTGGCTATGTCCTATTTCCCTCCTCTGTCTTTTCTTTCTTAAAAGACAGATAAATGGACACACATGTGCGCGTGCTCATACACATACTCATGCGTGCAGGACTACCATTGAATAAAAAAAAGGTGGAGAATTCTGGGTAGATGTTCTTTTTCTGTTAGTGGTGTCTTACTATAAAAATTATAATCAGCATTGGTATGATTTGTTTGAGGAGGACACTGTCTATGACAGTGGTTCTAAACCTTCCTAATGCTGTGACCCTTTAATACAGTTCCTCATGTTATGGTGCCCCCAACCATAAAATTATTTCCATTGCTACTTCATAGCTGTAACTTTGCTGCTGTTATAAATTATAACATAAATATTTTTTGAGCTAGAGGTTTGCCCAAGAAATCTCCACCCACAATTTGAGAACCTCTGGTCTTTGAGCTGCTTCAGAATTAATAAAATTGAGAGCAAACTGTTGAACAAAGATAGTTACTCTGCTCATTTCTCTTTAAAAAGTACAAATTTTGATTTTTTTCCTCATGAATGTATGTGGTGTTTGTGTTTATGTGTTTGCATGTGTATGGGGGCAAGTGTATGTGTGTGTGTGTATGTGTGTGTGTGTAGGACCAAGGTTGACAACATGAGTCTAACTTGATTCCTTTCCACCTTATTCACGGAGCCAGTATCTCTCAATTGAACCCAGAGCGTGCCGGAGTGTGGCTAGTCTGGCTGACCTGGCTAACTAGTTTGATATGGTGGGGATTCTCTTCTCCCCACCCTCTGAGGGCTGGAATTACAGGAGAGCTGCCGTCCTCACTGGGTGTTTCTGTGAGTTTTGGGCATCTGAACTCCATCCTTATGTTTGCTTTCCAAGTGCTTTAATCACTGAGCTGTCTCTTCACCTCCAGAACCCGTTTTTATTTAGCTACATTTAAAGACATAGGTTTTCCCTAAGTCTACCTTTAGACACAAGTGCTAATAAAACACACACACACACACACACACATATATAGATACATATATATACACATATATATGTATAACTTCTTATGCATACTCATATCTTAAAAAAATTAGATGTCTTGAATGTGACTAGAACATGTTGTTAATAAAAAAAGGATAAGATAAATAGATTCACAGTAGTAGCCTTGCGTGCATAGCTCTATGTTCTTATCGAACTATAAACTTGGAATAAATCTCCAGTAATGAAATTGTTCGATTGAAAGTATTTATAATTAAGCATGGATGACTCATATACTGAAATTACCCTTTGGAAGGTTTACTTCTAGGCTTTTATATTTTCTTGTTGCTTGAAATAACTCTTTTCTATCTCCTCTCCCCTCCTTCGCTTCCTCCCTACCTCCTCCCCGTGGTTTGTGTGTGTGTGTGTGTGTGTGTGTGTGTGTGCGTGTGTGTGCGTGCATGCTGTAAAGTAGAATCTCAGCAAACTGTGGCTAATGAGCCCTATCCAGCCCACCTTTCTGTTTTGAACACGGTTTTGCTGGAACACAGCCACCTTTACTCAGGCACACAGAGTCACTGACTATCTCTGTGCAGCAGTGGGCAAGTTGAGTAGCTGCTAGAGAAATCATCTGGCCAGCACAGTCTGAGATATTTACTTCCTGGTATTTATGAATAAAAGGCTGACAAATCTTTTTAAAAATAACTTATTTTTTAAATAATTTGCTTATTTTTTATGTGCTTTGCTGTTTTGCCTGCCTGTATGTCTGTGTGGAAGTGTTGGATCTTGGAGTTATAGACAGTTGTGAGCTGGCACATGGGTGCTGGAAATTGAACCCAGCTCCGTCTGGAAGAGCAGTCAGTGCTCTTAACTGCTGAGCAATCTCTGCAACCCCAAGACCAACAACTTTTGATAACAAAAGCAAGCTTGGTTACAGTTATACTAGATTTGATTAGACTTGTCAATAGACTTTTGGTAGCTTCTCTGAGACTTTTAGAGAGTTAATCATAAAGTTAAGAAAGATTTAGACATTGTCCTCCCTCCCTCCCTGCTTCTCCTTTGTTTAGGATCCTCAGCATGATGTTGACTAAAATCAGTGATACTAGGTATACATTTTCTTATTGCTACCGTGAGGAGTAGTGGGTTTAGTTTGCGTCACCTGACATGTGTGTGTATGTATGTTCTTTTTCTGATAGTTAGGTTAGTATTTCTCATTATTCCCTAATGGACAAAAGGGCCTGCTCCAGGAAATTGACTTTTTATTTTGCCATTTAACAGGACTGTCTTTAACCTTCTTTAGATTTCCTCATGCCGAACTAAACTCATAACTTTGAAATAAACCTTATTTCTGTATGTTTCCTTTTTAAGGCACGCTAGACTTCAGTCAGTTAGTACAGTTTCATGTGTTTGTGTCTGTGCTTATAATTCATCTGGTTCTATGGCTTTTTGTGTGTGTGGTCGTTTTGTCTAATTCAGTTACAAAGATGTGCTCGCCTTGGAAAACAAGGAGCAGGATTCTTGTATCTTTCTAAGTTCTGGAAAAGACAATTCCAAGTCCTCCTGTGGCAAGCACTGCCAGTGGCAAATGTATAAAGTGACCAGGGGACTTGTGTTGGTCACTGTAAGCCACTCAGAGTGTGAGGTTTCTAAGCCTAGACAGCAGGGCTTGCATCCTTTCATTTTCCTCCTGTGTCACCTTGGGACAATCACCAATCTCTTTTGAGTTCAGTTTCCTCATCTTCAAAATGCTTTAAACCCCCAGCATAGAGAAGATTTATTAAGGACTGAGGAAGATGACTGATAGAAACTACCCACTTCCGCTCCTGGCACATAGCAAGCACTCAATAAATATTTGTGTTTTGCATCTCTGATTTATTTCAAAGGTAGTCTGACGTTCACAAAATAATATCTACCAAATGTTTTAAGTTTTGTGCTTCCCTTATCCTTTATAAATATCATGTGCTTTTGAAAATGTTGAATACTGCCGAGGTCTTTTTCCTCATCTTTGGTAAAAAGAATCTCCAAAAATAAAGCCCAATATCACCAGCCAAAAGAATACCATTTTCTTATGGCTGGAAGAGAACACAAAGATTCGGCTGTCCAATTTGTGAAATAAAATGGACCTGACAGAGCTAGCTGATGAAAAATTGCCCTCTGTTGAAGGCAGCAACCTGGCTTCGTGAATTTTTCCCTTAAATGAAATATATGACTCGGATTTCTACTTAGAAAATAAGTTTATTTCTTGCTGTCGCCAAGAAGCAAGATTGTTTTGTGGAGGAGAAAAGACTGAATGTGGTGATGCAGTTGCCTAAAATGTCCTTCCTCTCGCCCTTCCCCATCTGTCTTCACGTGACCGTAAAGATGGAAGGGCATGCATCGTTTATGCATGAGCAGACAGAAATTGAGCTTAAGGAGGACCTCGGAAACATGAGGCGATGAGTGAGCTAGATCACTTGTGTCAGGCAGAAGACAGATGGCTCAAGGTTGGGCCAGCTCATCTTTATTGTGGTTTAGCTACCTTGGCCAATATTTTGTGAAGAAACACAGTATATTATTTTCAATCACAACTGTAGCAGAGCAGGGAGATGAAATTGAGACTATATGTGCATGTTTGGATAGCGATGATTGCGA